AGAAAACATTTTTAGAATGACGTTCTTATAATGTCTTTACAACGTTATTCATGATTGATGAAAATTCTCATAACGTTGATAGAGAACATTTTTAGAACCACATTCTCAAACATGGTAACAACGTTATTTATGATTGATTAAAGTTCTCTTAGTGTTGTTAGAAAACAGTCTTAGAACCACGTTCTTATAAATGTCTTTACAACGTCATTTATGATTGATGAAAGTTCTCATAACGTTGTTAGAGAACATTTTTAGAACCACATTCTCAGAACATGGTAACAACGTTATTTATGATTGATTAAAGTTCTCTTAGTGTTGTTAGAAAACATTCTTAGAACCACGTTCTTATAAATGTCTTTACAACGTCATTTATGATTGATGAAAGTTCTCATAACGTTGTTAGAGAACATTTTTAGAACCACATTCTCAGAACATGGTAACAACGTTATTTTTGATTGATTAAAGTTCTCTTAGTGTTGTTAGAAAACAGTCTTAGAACCAAGTTCTTATAATGTCTTTACAACGTTATTCATGATTGATGAAAGTTCTCATAACGTTGTTAGAGAACATTTTTAGAACCACATTCTCGGAACATGGTAACAACGTTATTTATGATTGATTAAAATTCTCTTAGTGTTGTTAGAAAACAGTCTTAGAACCAAGTTTTTATAATGTCTTAACAACGTTATTCATGATTGATGAAAGTTCTCATATCGTTGTTAGAGAACATTTTTAGAACCACATTCTCAGAACATGGTAACAACGTTATTTATGATTGATTAAAGTTCTCTTAGTGTTGTTAGAAAACATTTTTAGAACAACGTTCTTATAATGTCTTTACAACGTTATTCATGATTGATGAAAGTTCTAATAATGTTTGTTAGAAAACCGTCTTAGAACCACATTATTGGAACGTCTTAACGTTATTCATGATTGACAAAAGTTCTCCTAATGTTGTTTGAAATCATTCATGGGATCACATTCTCAGAAAGTGTTCACAACATTATCTGTGATTGATGAAAGTTCTCTTAGTGTTGTTAGAAAACATTCTTAGAACCACGTTCTTATAATGTCTTTACAACGTTATTCATGATTGATGAAAGTTCTCTTAAACGTTGATAGAGAACATTTTTAGAACCACATTCTCGGAACATGGTAACAACAATATTTATGATTGATTAAAGTTCTCTTAGTGTTGTTAGAAAACATTCTTAGAGCCACGTTTTTATAATGTCTTCACAATTTCATCTGTGATTGACGAAAGTTTTCATAATGTTGTTGGAAAACATTTTTAGAACCACGTTTTTATAATGTCTTAACAACGTTATTCATGACTGATGAAAGTTCTAATAACGCTTTTTAGAAAAGAACCACATTATTTCCAGCAACAGAATGCTAACGTTAGGATAATATTCTAGCAATATTTTGCTCTCGTTAAGATAATGTAAAAGAAATATTCTTTTAGCCGTAGGATAACATTCCGGCAATGTCACACTAACCTTAAGATGATGGTTTGGAAACAATGCTAGCGTTACAGCAACATTATGCTAAAGTTCCAATAATGTTATGTTAATGTTGCAGCAATGTTATGTTTACTTTAGTATAACATTCAACCAATGTTATTCAAACCTTTCAGAAAATGTTAAGTTTTTGCAATGTTACACTAATGTTACTGCAAAGTAATATTAACCTTAAGATAACGTTTCAGAAACATTAAGCTACTGTTCCATTAATGCTTTGCTAACCTTAAGATAACATTCCAGAAACATTATGCTGATGTTCAAGCGTTGTTTTGCTAACCTTAAGATAACGTTCCAGATACATTATGCCGATGTTCCAGCAATGTTTTGCTAACCTTAAGATAACGTTTCAGAAACATTAAGCTACTGTTCCATTAATGCTTTGCTAACCTTAAGATAACATTCCAGAAACATTATGCTGATGTTCAAGCGTTGTTTTGCTAACCTTAAGATAACGTTCCAGATACATTATGCCGATGTTCCAGCAATGTTTTGCTAACCTTAAGATAACGTTTCAGAAACATTAATCTACTGTTCCATTATTGTTTTGCTAACCTTAAGATAACGTTTCAGAAACATTAATCTACTGTTCCATTATTGTTTTGCTAACCTTAAAATAACGTTTCAGAAACATTAATCTACTGTTCCATTAATGCTTTGCTAACCTTAAGATAACATTCCAGAAACATTATGCTGATGTTCAAGCGTTGTTTTGCTAACCTTAAGATAACGTTCCAGAAACATTATACTTGTCATGTTCTGTGTCCCTTTGTTCCCCAGCCCCTCCACTTCCCACTCCAGGTTCTTTTGTGTTTCATAGCGCCCTCATGTGTCCTTTGTCTGCATCTCATTTATGTGTCTCCTGTGTTTCTTTAAGTTTTCTCCAGTCACCCCTCTGCAGTGTTTATAGTTTCAGCTTTTCATTTTTATTAGTCTCTTTAATATGTTTTGTCCCACCGGTTTTTGTAGTTCTCCATCCCTTTGGAATTTTAGTTATATGGTTGCTTTTGTGTTTTTAGGTTCACTCTTAGGTCATGTTAGTTTCTTCCCTGATTAGTCATTGCTTTCACCTGATCCTCCCCCCACACTCCACACACCTGCAACTCATCTGCCTCCCATTATGCCCCAGTGTATTTAAGCCCCGTCTTGTCTCTGTGTCTTGTCGGTTCTTTGTTGTTTGTTGTAATTCTGTCAAGTTTTTCTCGTGCCTCTAGTGCTTGGATCTAGTCTTCTCGTGCCTCTTGTATTTTTGGATCTCCAGATCTCTATCTGGATTTTTGGACTGTTGGCTCCCAGCCTTTTGGATTACTTTTGTTTTTTGGTTACTCCTAAAATAAAGGATTTTACTTTACATCTTCCCCAGCCTCGTGTCATCCTGGGTTTCTGCATATTTGGGTCCTAAACATCCCCAGATCGTGAAAATACTTTTGTTCCAGCATTGTTTTGCTAACCTTAAGATAATGTTCCAGAAACATTATGCCGATGTTCCAGCAATGTTTTGCTAACCTTTAAGATAACGTTCCAGATACATTATGCCGATGTTCCAGCAATGTTTTGCTAACCTTTAAGATAACGTTCCAGATACATTATACTGATGTTCCAGCAATGTTTTGCTAACCTTAAGATAACGTTCCAGAAACATTATGCCGATGTTTCAGCAATGTTTTTCTAACTTTAAGATAACGTTCCAGATACATTATGCCGATGTTCCAGCAATGTTTTGCTAACCTTAAGATAACGTTCCAGAAACATTATGCCGATGTTTCAGCAATGTTTTTCTAACTTTAAGATAACGTTCCAGATACATTATGCTGATGTTCCATTATTGTTTTGCTAACCTTAAGATAACGTTCCAGAAACATTGTGCTGATGTTCCAGCAATGTTTTGCTACCTTAAGATAACGTTCCAGAAACATTTTTCTAGCCTTCAGATAACGTTCTGGTAATGTCAGGCTAACGTTTTAGCAATGTTTTGCTAATATTGCAACAATGTTTTTCCAAACATTAACAAAACGTTCCGGTAACATTGTAGCAGTATTGCAGCCATGTTATGAATATATTCCGGGAATGTTGTGCTAATAATCAAATAACGTTTCAGTAACCTTATGCTAACGTTCCAGTAATGTTATGCTAATATTCTGTTAACATCATGCTAACCGTAAAATAACGTTCAAACAACTTTAAGCAAACATTCCAGCAATGTTTTTGTAACGTTAACACACCATTCCAGTAACGTTAAAAAAACTGGACATTTCTACGTTTTTCCAACATTCAAAATAAACATTCCCACAACGTTCTTACAACAAATTTTTGTTAGCTGTGAAGGAAAGCCCAGGGCTATTAATAATGAATGACTGTCAACCCAGAAGGTGTTTGTCAAATTTGAAGCTGAGATGGCATACGATCGGACACAGCTGCTAAGACACTTTGGACACTGGAGCTAACTGGACTTGGACTATGATGTGGAACTCTGAAGTCGAAGTCACACACATGTTACTCCAGCTTCACCATTACCAGTTCTGAGGTTTCTGGTGCCAACCGTAGGGAGAAGCGTTTCTTTATCGAGCTCTTTTCTGTTGCTGGTGCAACTGATTCTATCTTTGACTTGGGCTTCTCAGCTGCCAGTTACATCTAAATTGTGATTGTTAACAGTAGAGTCACTGAGCTGGTGCTTCACCAGTGGCGTGCTTTGAAGCTACTTGCTACTTCTGTGGTAAGGCTTTCTCCTATCTATGAAAACATCTCTATCTACCTTACTATATGTTTAAATTCCTGTCTATTGCTCGGCTTGATGTACACACTCTTCTGCCACTTATCCGCACAGTTGATCCCCATGGGGACCACACTCCGTAGTTTGGGGGAGCCAACTAGACAACGCTCTGGTGTCCAAGGTCCACTACGCACCTGCACTTGCGGCTGACATGTTTTTAGCAGCAAAGAGCTATTAAGATAGCTAAATTTCATTTCTTTATTTACAAACTGAGAGAGCAGTCAGTGCCTCCCCAGTCATGAACCTCTAAAGATGGCCCAAATCCAGTCTTGTACAAGAGGTCAAATTGCAGCCTAACGTTTGTTTAACGAAATGATAAATAGTGAAAAAACCACTCTGAGATATCAAATAAAACTATTTTTAATTTCTTTTCTGTATAAATTGAGTGATTAAATTGGTGAAGGTCTTTCAACTGTGCTGTGTGTGTGTGTGTGTGTGTGTGTGTGTGTGTGTGTGTGTGTGTGTGTGTGTGTGTGTGTGTGTGTGTGTTTTGAGGTGGGGGGTGCTGAGTGAGTCTTTGGTTGTATATTGCTGATGTATAAAGGCTGTGTTTAATCTGTTTATATTCCTTCATGTAATGTCAAATGTATAAACTTTGATAAACTAACTGATTAACTGACTGGTTGATTGCGGAAAACCAGAACAACTGAGTTGGTGTAAATCCCCTTTAGAAACAGCTGGTATCTGGATTTACTAATCAGCAAACTCACCAATCAGAGCCTCCCACTTGCCATTGGCTTGTGTGACCTCATACACACATCTCATCTCGCTGTACGTCATGCCTCCGATGATGAAGACGATGATCCTGGGTCCTGTTTTCATCTCTGTAGGGCCTCTGTTCTTGTGCCAGTTACCATAGCGAGCACTGGATAAAGAAGATGAACATTCTCAAAGTAGAACGGTTTCCTAATCTAGCTAGAAGTTTTGTATAACCTCTATTTAATCAGGTAATATCACAGACTAAATATCTCTTGTCCAATGGAGACGTGGCCCAGAAAGGCAGCATCATATAACAAAGATGGGTCCAACTCAGTCTCTGTTAGGTCCCAAAGAACATTTTCAAAATCACACACCTTGATGGAGCACTGGCTTTGGCAGATGCTTGTCGTTGGGAAATGTACGGGTACTGCTTAGGGTCAAGCTTGTCCTCAATGGCATCCTATATGAGAATATGTGGAAATTACAATCCATGTTCAACTTGTCCTGCAAAAGTCTGCATTCAACCCAGAAAGAAAACAGAAAGAGAACAGCAGCAGCAGGATTCTCTGGTCCAGGTGTCTCTAACCTTTTGGAGACCGTGAGCTACTTTTGCATAACGAAAGTACAGAAGAGCTACTACCATACGATTTATTCACATGGAAACATTCCTCATGTGAATATGCTTACTATGTTAAAAATGCTATGCTTACTAGATTAATATGCATTGTATTCACAAGTAGATTTCAACACATCAATATTGGGCTGCCACCTTACCGCGTTGGAGGGGTTTGAGTTCCCAGTGATCCTAGGAGCTAAGCTGTCTGAGGCTTTGTGCCTCTGGTAGGGTCAACCACGGCAAACAGGTCCTAGGTGAAGGATCAGACAAAGTGCAGCCCATAGACCCCTTACTGATGAGGAAATGTGTGCGTTACTAATTCAGCAGCGCGGTGTGTTGAAGGTGCCATCAGCTGATCGGGAGCAAAAGAGGCGGAAGGTTTTTACCCTACAGCATCACCGCCATGAAGAACGAGGAAGACAGGATGAATAGTCTACAGCTACAGACCCGCAGATCTGCAGCCGTGTCCTTCTTGGCGTGACAGCGGGACGTCCCGAAGGTCCGCTCACCTGTTCACCGCTCAGACGTCCTGATCTTCTACCTTCCTAGATCATCCAGCTGTAACCTGTTCCTGATCATGTCTTTAGTCCCGCTGTAACACTGATGCATCAGTCTCAGACGTCATGGAGCTCAGGTGTTATTAGAACTACCTGTGTGTGTTTACCACCCAGCTTCAGCTCTTCTGTGTTTGGGCCTGACCCACGTTAGTAAATGTAAGTCCTCCATCAGGCTTGTGCCTCTTCTAGTGTCATTTTAAAGGATTTTATTTGTTTATTTAACCGTTACTAGATTAGCAGCAACAGAAATGCTGCTAAAACACACAATTATGTCAAGCTGGAAAATTAGAATACTGTACAAAATGACATTTATTTCAGTAATTTAACTAGACTGAGAGACCATCTAAAGGCTCAGGAACCTTTACAGGTGTTTCTATTAGCTGACTGGGGTCTTGTTAGATATCTCACCGTCACATTTTAATAGTCCAGATTAGTGTGATGTTCCTGTTTGTAGTTCCTCCTGTTAAGTGTCCATTTATTTAATTATTCAGTTTTATAAAAACATTTTATTATGTTCCAGTCATTAGTCATTCATATTTCACTAGTGTAGTAACTCATAGTGAATTAATTAAGTTTAATTAAGACAGGAACCCATTTTTCTTGCATTCTCTAATGAAAAAACAAAGAAAGTAGTTATTTTTCTTGGTAATTATTTACTTTCATAATCTCGTAACTTGGTAAGTAACTGAGTTACTTTTTGGACAATGTAATCAGTAACTATAACTAGAGCCCTGCACAGGCCTAAAATCTGAGCCCGTGTCCGGCCCGGCCCGAGGGGGTGGAGCCCCAGCCCGACCCGGCCCGAAAAGGTTTTCAGGATTCTCTGGCTCGACCCGAGCCCGACTTTTTTTTTTAACCAACTAAATGAAAACAAAGTGCGTCAATCCTGACCAATGTGTTAAAAGACGTGCAGGATCTGATCAATTTGTTTTTCCCTCGTTTACCGCCACGGAGATAACGGCACACTGGTGCTGGTGTTAATCAAGTTAAATTTCATCTCTTTCCAACAATTTTCACAAGAAACAGAACAGTTAAAAGCAGGGCTTGTGTTGACCGGATAGTTCCCATATTTGATGGTTTATTTTGACGGAGAAATAGAAAGAATTACCCCGACGCATGCAGACGAACTGACATTTTATTCGTTACACACATCGCAGATGTAGCTAAATCACCCAAGAAAAGATTCCCATCTGAACATCTGAGCTGCTCAGCGCATATGTGCACAGTGAGCTGAAGTTGTGGAGATTGGCTTGGAGCGCGTTGCAGAACCAGAGCGCATGCGGGAAGCTTCCTCCCACTGAAACGAGTGTTTTCCAAACGCTGTCTCTCAGAGAGACTTGTCCCTTAGAAAATGTTCTCTGATTATGAAACTTTGGCTGAATAGTGCTTGTTCCTGTCTCCAATGTGGCGACACATCCAGGAGGAGAATCCCAGAATCTCTTCAGCCCAGGAAGAGCCTATGATTACGCACAAGCGTGACGCGTCAACCCGGTCTCACAGTAAGACTGGGTTGGGCCTGTTCAGGTTTACGCAGACAATCTTTACATAGAATTGACTTACAGATATAAAATTAATGCAGTAAAATATAAAGCATTTTATTTAAATATCCATTCATTATTTTACAAGCACAGAGAGCCGCATCAGATGGATGGAAGAGCCGCGGGTTGTGACATGTTTTCTCCAGGACCAGAGAGGACGCAAACTCAATACATCTCTTTTATTGTGAGGTAATAATTTCTACGAGTTTTGCAGTTGCGGGCGGGAGTAGACATGCACACTGCGGGTGCGGGCGGGAGTAGACATGCACACTGCGGGTGCGGGCGGGAGTAGACATGCACACTGCGGGTGCGGGCGGGAGTAGACATGCACACTGCGGGTGCGGACGGGAGTAGACATGCACACTGCGGGTGCGGGTGAGAGTAGACATGCACACTGCAGTTGCAGGCAGTAATTGTCAGAAATTCAGCGGGAGCGGGCAGGAGCGGGATGAAGAAAACAGTCCCGCGCAGGGCTCTACTGCTGCGTTTGTGTTTCAATTTTTTTTAATGAATTGGATTAAAAATAAAGGCGCCCGGCCCGGCCCGTGTCCGAGGTAATTACACAGTCGTTGGCCCGAAGCCTGGGCCGAGGGCTGTCGGGCCGGGCCGACCCGAGGGCCTAGGGTTTCAGTGCAGGGCTCTAACTATAACTAAATAAATAATAATGGTCCTTCGTGGGTGGAAATGGAAAAACTTTCTTCTGGCTCTGTGTTGTCTCCATCTGTAATTGGTGCACAACTTCCATCATCAAAAGCTGTGATAATCCCTAATCCTATAGTCCAGAATTCAATCAAAGCCTGCCATCAATTTATGTTTATGTTGCTTTTTAAGCTTTGCTTCAGGTTAGAGGACAGCCCACCTAGATCAACTGATGAGTGTTTTCAGGGAGGGGAGAAACAGCTCGTTCACAGCCCCTGATTGCACTTATTGTTATTATTATGTTATCATTATACTTATTGTTTTCAGTTGGCCCAAACCGGAGCTACTAGACAACAACATTGTGCCTGAAGTGCAGAATACGGAATGCAGATTTAGAAAACATTGTGGACACCTGGAGATAAGCTTATCCTACAGCAACAAATTACTCTTTTGCTCCTTGACTATTAGATACAGCATTTCAGAAATGGCAATAGAGAAGGGTTGATATTGTTTAATGATTTATTTGTTGATGACTACAGGGTTTTCCCGAGCGCTTTATATGCCTGGCGGCCCGCCAGGCTTTGCTTGGTCACCCGCCAGGCTAAGCGTCATGACCCGCCCTGCCCTCCCTGACCCTACCGTGTCCACTGACACGAACGGCACATGGCAGTGATGTGCAATTGTTTAGTCGTGTGAATAGTGAATGAAATCATCTCAGAACCATAGATGTGTGTGTTGTGCGTACATAATAATGTAAATTCTGCTTTAATCATTTTCCTTCAATACAAAATCTGCTGATTTTAGAAGCATTAATGTCAGTATATTGGTATCGGCAAATATCGGTTATCGGCCATAACAGCGATCTTAATATCGGATATCGGTATCGGCCCCAAATGTTCATGTCGGTGCATTACTAGTTTCTTCCTACGTGGAGGCCTTTCTTGACTTTTTTTTGATTGTCCATCTACAAGAGTGTCTGAAGGATGGACCTTTGATTGATTTATTTTTTGTTCTTGTGTTCAGACCAAAAATGCAAGTGCTATTCTATTTACATGTCCCTTTAATGTATTGATATATATTGTGCTCATCATTGTCAGCACACTGGGGGGAGGGCTGGGGGGTTGTTGTTTGTTATGTGAAAAAGAAAAAAACTTAATAAATATATTGAATACAGAAAATAGAAAAGTATTTCTTCTAATGCTTTTTAATTTTCTAATTTGACATTTCAAATAGAATTTTGTTACATTTTTGCTGGAGTGTTATATGAAAATTAAATCTTTTTTTTTTTCAAATACTGTAGCTTATCATTTCTCCCCTTATATAGGCCTTAAAGGCTTCCCATTTTATTGATGCATTTGTTTGGTTTGTATTAAAAGTGAAATAATCATTTATCTTCCCATCTATGAATTTCACGAACTCTGTATATCTCAACCATTTTGCTTGGAATCGAAATGGGAGTGGCTGGAGTAAAAGGTTCGGCAATAGAAGAGATAAAATGACTGGGGCATGATCGGAAAGTAAAATAGCTTCATACCAGCATTTCTGTATCAGAGACATTAGATTTGTTGAGATCAGGAAGAAATCAATACGTGAGTATGTTTTATGGGTGCTAGAGAAACACAAGAACTCTGTTTTATTAGGGTGTAATAGTCTCCACACCTCCATCAAGTTGAGGTCCTTCATAAATTTTCCAATCATTGTTCTCGTTTGTTGGTGAGAGGGAGTAACATGGGTGTTTGATCTATCAACCACAGGGTTAATCACACAGTTGAAATCACCTCCTATTATGTAATGGGCAGTATAGGAGGACATAGTTAAAAAGAAATGCTGGTAAAAAGTAGGATAATCTCCATTAGGGGCTTATAAGCAAACCAGATTTACTAGAGTTGAAACTATAGTGCCATTCGGTATAATAAATCTCCCAGAAGGATCTAAATACTTATCTCTTAACTGTATTAAAAGTGAAATAATCATTTATCTTCCCATTTATGAATTTCACGAACTCTGTATATCTCAACCATTTTGCTTGGAATCGAAACGGAATCGACTTATGGACCAGAATTATGACCCCCCTAGAGTGAGAGGAGAATCCAGAGGAGAATACTTGTCCAGGCCATCTGGTTCTTACTCGGTTGATATCTTTCTCCAACAGGTGTGTTTCTTGTAAAAAACATACTGTGGCCCCTAACTGTTTTATTTGGCCTAATACTTACTTACTTTACTAATACTTCATGTTCTTTAAATTGTATTTAATACAAAACCTTTCAAGTAAATATTTTATGTTTTGATTATTTTTTCCACATAATGCAACACAAAAATACTGCTGCATTTTTTTCTGACAGTATTAACTGCCAGCCGTTTCTTGATCAGAAAAGTCCTTCACTGCCAGCGTTTTTCTGCGTTTTCACCATTTTTTTAAGAGTCACAGAACGTTGTGCGCTATGATGATGTCAATGCCAAAACTACCAAAACAAGAAGTAGACTCACCTCTTACATTGTCGAATTGTGATCGGCATAAGCTTTTCCGGTTCGCGCCTGTCTTTTTGTTTACAGCAGCGGCCCAAAACAATCTCCTAACACATGGATTTTTTGCTTAGTGATCTTGTGATGTGTGACGTACGCGGATGAAGATCAGCTTTAGAGCTGAGATGTTTGTTCTCACGGTGCGAGGCCTCATTCCGACGCCCACACATTAAAAAATGCAAACATGGACTTAGTCATTAACGGCAGTGAACGGTTGTTTTTAAAACGATGACTTTTGTCGTTAATGAGTTAAAATAAAGTTGGATGTTTATCCTTTTTCTCTGCAGCTTGATCAGCTGATCTAAGGGTTTGACAACTGAAAGAGTCAGACAGACAGAGAGAGAGAGAGAGAGAGAGAGAGAGAGAGAGAGAGAGAGAGAGAGAGAGAGAGAGAGACAGAGAGAGAGAGAGAGAGAGAGAGAAATCTTTCAGAATCATAATTTAGTACTAAATGGGACAATCAGCGGAAACTGTTGAAATTAGTTGAAACTAAATCACAGGAGTTGTCCGGAGGGTTTGAGAGCTAATGCTCTCAGCCACTAGTCCACAAATGAAAGATAGAGGAGAGTGAATGTTCTCAGTTGTGTCCCTGTTGAAAATCTCCCTTGCGTTGTGATGGTCTTCTTCAGCGGTGTTCTTAAAAAGCTATTTTCATATATATCGTTAGTCTATATTTTATTTATTGTAGTTTTTATAATTGTGTTGTACAACTCCACATTGTTTTTAAAGAGCTTTGCAAAAAATGAATTTTATAATTATTAATAATATTATTATTATTATACGACAGCACTATGGGAGAAATACCTCAATGAAGTCTTTGATGAGAGGAGTCCACCTGGAGAGCTGGTAGGTCTGCTCACTGATCCGCTCCTTACGATCTGGCTTCTTGGGTTTTTTGATGGCACCCTGCAAATATTTAATGAATGAAAATAAACCGAAAGAACTTCACTTGGACTGTATACACTACCGGTCTTAAGTTTTAGAACGCCCCACTTTTTCCAGTTATTTATTGCAGGTTAAGTCAAGCTTGAAATAGTACAAAGTTAAGTGGTGAACTGTCAGATGTTAAAAAAGGTAAGGTTACTCAAAACAGAAAAATAATGTACATTTCAGAATTATACAAAAAGCTGAAAGCTGGTGCTACTAATTCCCACAGGTGTTCCAAAGTTTCTGGATTACTTACAACCCCCTGTGTCTGCATAGAAGCAGTATTGGAACATACTGTGGTACCATACCCTCGTGAGCATCAATTGAACAGTATTGTACTGCAGATAATAGTGTGTTACTACAAATATGGTGAGAAAAAGGCAATTATCAATGGAAGAGAGACAGACCTTCGTAACGCTTAAAAATGTAGGTCTTTCATTTGAGAGCCGTTAAGAAAATACTTCAGAAATCACGCCTTCACTCAGATACTCAGAGGTTATTTCTCAGTGTGGAGTGGAAATGTTTTTCTATACATTTATGTGAAGTGAATGCTAAAACCTTAATATTAATATTATGATGCATGAGAATACTGATAGATGAACTTGTTAAAGAGCGGGTCAAGTGTGCCTCAGAGTCCTTCTCCACCCACGTATCAATTTTAAAAACTGCAACATTAGTAGGCGTTGCCTGGAGGACCGAGAGGGCGGAGCCGCGACAGTGACGAAGACGATGGGTAACGAGATGATGCTAGCTCCCTTCACTCTGAGCAGTTATTAGAAGTGGAGGACGTTTGTCCCCCTCCTTACCCAGACACTCGAGAAGAAAGGGACCAAGTCTATTTGGAGGAGACAAGCGGACCTGAGCCTTATTGTTTTGAGCTTGTTAGTTGCCTGAAACTAGCGGAACCGACCCAACAGAACCACCTCTGAATGGTAAATAGCCGTTAGCCATAGCATTAGATTAGCTGCAGGGTTTGGCTCCACGGCCCTAGAGAGCTAGTATTCAGCATGTTTTAGAGATTTATCTGCTTCAACACACCTGGTTTTAATCAGCAACAAATAGCTGAGCTGCTTAACAGCTAATCTAACCTGTTAAAGCAGGAAAACCACTGAAATGTGCTGGATAGCAGCTCTCCAGGAGCTCTGGGCTCAAGTTACAGTCTGCTGCATATAAAGTTATGAAAATACCCCATGAGAAAATTATTCTGTAATGTGTTCAGTCCACTAAAACTGCCCTGATTTCATTATTTATTTACTGATACCAGCTGCTCTCTTGGTCAAAGGTGATCCTCTGGTGTCTGCAGATGGTCTCCTCTGCTGGTGTGGTCAGGATCAGGAGCTTCCAGAAGAATGCGCCTTTCAACGACTCTTTCCCCCTTATTTGTTATATTAATTAAATAAATCTCAATTTATATATTTCCTGTTTTTGTTCATGTCCATAAATACTTAAACATGCTAGAAATTAAAACGAGCTTTTACCAGTGAGGTGCTAGTTTAATTCATCACAATAGAGCTAGTTAAACATGCAACAATGTGATAATTCAATTAATGTAATTTATAAATATCCATTAAAATATAAAAACTGAATTTAAGACTAACAGGTACCAGACTACATGTCTGGGTCAAGAGAATCACACCACAAGCAGAGACATAAAAAAGTGTGTGTGTGTGTGTGTGTGTGTGTGTGTGTGTGTGTGTGTGTGTGTGTGTGTGTGTGTGTGTGTGTGTGTGTGTCTGTGTGGGTGGGTGGTCTCCTCATTGCTAAATGACTGCATCGTTAGTGTCATTTAGGTTTACATCGTAGTTGGCACAGATTAAATGGACAGCCTCAACAATGGAAGAACCCTTTTGCAGATGCACAAATCTCTAACATCCATATAAACAGAGAGACCAGTACATATGGATGTTTTCCTCATAAAATTCATATAAACACAAATAATAATTATGCTAGGGGTTTAAAGGCCATGAACCAAAGACAAAATAAGCCAGAGGTGAAGGTTTATGCATTTAACTAGGAATGTCATAAATGATCATCAGGGCTGATGTGAAATCTAATCCAGATCAGTCCAGGTCAGAATTATCATCTCATCTGTGTCATGATCAGCAGCAGCTGGATGTTTATGGCCACAAAATTTCAAGTGAAGCACACTCCTTTTATGTCGTGTTTGCTCACGATCCATATTTCTGTTTAGAAACCGTTTCTCCTCCATGGATGTACCTGCCTGTGCAGAGCGTTTAACCACTGGTTGGTCAGCTGATGCTGCTGTCAGTCATTGCAGGAACGTGTACGCTGTGAGGAAACACTTTTAAATTTTCTCCCCTGCCTGAGCTGATGGTGACGCACGGCACGCCTCGCGGCTGTGATGCACCTTTTGCCCAAACTGCAGCCCTTCCTGGAGCTCGTACCGGACTGTGGATGACTGATGTTAGAGGACACAGAGATATCTTTTCAAAAATCTCTGAGATTTTGACTGATGAATGCCTGGAAAATTTACTGGTATGCACTGTACCCTAAGTACTGGCATGCTAAAAGGGTATCTTTAGAAGTGGCGGCGGTGCTGATACCGGTCCAAAGCACTGCTCTCTGTCCCTAAAGGATATGAGTCTGATGATCTGATCATCAGAACCTGTTCATCATGATCCGTTCCTGACAGCCACTGTTTCTCCCTCCCCAACCCACCCTACGTGCCCAGCATTTCACGCGATACTTAAACTGGCCCAAAAACTCCACCTTAAACTGGTTCTCCCAACATGACCACATACAGGCCAGCCTGGACATGCATCTGTGGCCAGAGCTTTCTTCTTTTTCCATCTCTCCTTTTCTGCTCCATCTTTCCTGGCCCGTCTAGGTCCATTTTGCCTCTGGGGCCAAAGGTGCAGTGGTGCTGTAGCCGCTCTGGGGTGGTGGGTGTCTGCTGCGCTTTGCCAGACCCCGACAAACTGAGAGGAGGGGGTGTCTTTGTGCCCAGTTTACTCAGTTTGTGCAAGCATCAGGACATCAGATGCCCTGATGAGAGTCATTTAGAATTTAGATATTACGCACGTCATGACCGGCAATCACTGAGCGGGCCACTTTACTGGCCAGGCCACCGGGAAATCTTCCATTTCTCCCAATTACCAGTCCGCCACTTAAGAGATGTCTGTTAACTTAGAAAATGTGGGCACAAGTTTGATTACTTGTGTCCCCCCCCCCCCCACCCCCCACCCCCCCACCTGTCGCATGCTCCCGAAGATCAGAGCCACAGACAGAGGAGGAAAAGGAAGAGGACACAACGGGAGGGGCCACATGGAGAGCAAAGATAAGCGGAGCCCAGCGGAGCCTGCTGATGCGAGTGAAATCGAGGCAGGTGAAGACAGGAAGGGAGCCAACTGAAGACAGCACCACAGGATGTGAAGCCCCCTTTGAAGACAGCTCGAGCTTTAGAAGGATCTGAAACCGTCCTACAAATGATAAATGATTACTTTGTTTTACTATCTTGTGACGCAGATGACTAAAGATTACATTGTTTAGTTGTCTTAAAGTTAAATCATATATACGTCACTCTGAAAAAGTGCTTGTAACATGAAAATGCTATACAATGGAAAATGCTTTGCTTAGCAGTTTTTAGAACATATATAAGAACAAGTTAGAAGTAGAAGGAGGCGCTTGCACGTACGCACGCAGCGCGAGGTCACGGCAGACGAGAGACGGAGAGTCTACAGTAGCTTTTTCCTCTTAGATAGTTAGACGCAGCATACTCATAAGAGGATATTTAATCTTGGATTTACCCTTTTATATCTTTTGAATTTTGGAATAAACTTTTTTGAAAAAGGATTCTCATTCATTGGATTTTAAGGGACAATTTAATCTCTTTGAGTGGGAGCTCCGGCCCTGGCCTAAAGGAGTGGAGGTAAGCCACCTTATTGCTTGTACCTGCTTCACAGGACTTGTTTTTCAGGGTGTGACAGATTAATAAAAGATACCTTAGGCTAATGGGAGTTTCATCTCCCCCTCTCTCTTGAGTATCGGGACATGCCTAAGGGTGATAAGCCATGATAGTTCGTTGGTTCAAACAGGCTCTTTTTGCACCAAAAAAGTCTCTGTTAAGCGTGGGAAGGAACCATTTCAAAGGGTGGATTAATTAGATTAATTGATAAATTTATGTTAGCCTGATCAACTAACTAGTAATCATTTTCTAGTTACCACCGCCCACTTTGCTGACGGAGACGCAAATTAACCCTGATAGGACCCAAATAATAGTCAGTAAGATTGGCCAACTCTGAACTTCCGCCTTAGTATCCAAAACCACTGGATAACAGGATTTAAAGGGGAGTGAATTAATACAGGAGAACAAGTACGGCAATTCCATTCCAACCTTTAAAATAGGAACAAGTTTTAATTGAGAAAGTCCATCCCAGGGTCTGATACAATAATACTCACCACGGCCTCAACTTCCCTGAGAAAGCAGCGTAACTCGAGGATCTAACGGAACCTCTTAAAGGGCACGCTCGCAACATGGCGCCCAACGTGGGGCGTGGTGAAGGTCAAATATTGGATACCGGACTAACCGAAATAAGACTGGTTTCTAGGCTGATAAAGGCTCGTGCACCAAGGACCTTGTATGCTTATAACTTTGGAGTAAGTGAAAAACCGCACCAATCTCTCGAAAAGGAAAGAGATAGGGAGAACGGAGGATTAACTGAAAGAAAAAGTAGAAAGAAACAACAGCTTTCCGACGCGAGAAAAGCCAAGGTTAAACTAGGAAGAAAAAAAAAATAAAAATAAAAATAACAAATAATAAAAAATAAGAACGTAAAAAATAAATAAACAAAAATAAAATAAAATAAAAATAAAGAATAATAAAAAACCTTTTAACCAGTCATGGCAGATAGATCTTTAACAATAAAGCCGGAGAATATTCTCCCTAATGTGAGATTCGTAACCGGAGAAATAACCACATATCAAGGTGGCTCGCAGGGCATTTTAGCAGTGTCCTGTAACCGGAACTTTCAAAATGCAGGAGGAACAGCTCGAGCGGCGGCAGAGCGCTGTCCAAATGCTGAAGCCCAAGTAAGAAATGCTCATGTTTTTCCGTTGGTCAAGTAAAAATACTTGATTGAAAGTCATGGCTGGATTAAAACCTAGTACTGGAATGGATTGCTCGAACCTGGTTAATTCCGGCCTGATCATGGTGTCAAAGGGAGGGTCTGTCACATCCTGTAAGGTGGCCATGTTTCCTAGTTTCACAACTTCCCCAACTGGTTACCGATACGCTCAGTGGAGGGGTTGGATTACGGGAACATGTATTATGTGTGGAAACCATTGCTCCTTAATTAGGTGGTCGGGGCTCCGGGAGGAGAAGCCGTGCTACCTGGAAAGGGGCGCTGACTTGCATCTGGGGGCATTGGAACTCTCTGCCCCAATTAAGATTTGTTTTTGCAGAAGCTGCTTGAGACATGAGCCTGGCATCCGCTCATGGCAGGTGTGTGAGTGCACACATGGAGGCGAAAGCAAAGAAGGTTGCTGCTTTATAAGACATGGCATTTTGACTACCTGCTTACCTATATGCGAGCCCAGCCTGTTCTATGTGGGAGAGCTGCTCAGGGACCCTAGCCAGGTGAAAACAGTTAGGGACTTGTGGGTGGAAGCTTACCCATTCATCATCAAGCATAAGACTGGAGAAAGGGGACTGGAGACGATTCAGGCTCAGTCCCGCTTCAAGTCCATTAAGAGTTTGATCTTGGGACAGCAGTTTGGGACCCTGGCTAATGCATGGGAAGCAGGTACACAACTGGGGTTGAGCCGAGAATATAAGGATGAGAGGTGGGGCACCTATCTGGCAGGTGCACTTGACTGGCACACAGGTTTGTCCATGCAGGAGCCTAGAGGAATGTGTAAACGGGTGACCTCATGTCTGGTTGAGCTAAAGAGCCTTGGACCAGAGGCAGAGCATGCTTTCATGCCTTATCAGCTGACATTGATAAGAGGCGATAGACCCGTCTGGTCACATTTGCGGCTCAGCTGTTAACATTGCCACCACCCGAAAAGGAGCAGATTATTGGCCGAAGACTTACGGGACTGCGTATACTAGGATTTCACGTAGGCGGGTCCCAGGTCTGACACGGGTTAATTAGAGTAGGGCACTTTCACTTCCTGCTGATTTTTATGCTTCTGTTTTGCAGATGTTCTCTTCTCAGGAGCATAAAGGGGATAGCAGCAGGAAGCGGAAGGTTGTCAGGTATGCATCAGCTCCGGCTGGAGTTGATCCCGAAGACACACAGAGAAATGTAAATAATCCAAAAGGAAAGAATTGGATGAAAGACTGGACCAGATGGGCCTCCTTCATCCTATTCGAATTAAGCATCATAATATTATGTATTACAATAGTGTATGGAGTACATGTATATCTTAGAACATATCATGTGTCCTCGGTAGCCTATAACATAACTCATGGGCAACTGCAACAATTAAGAGGACGTTGGAACATGTCCAAAATAAGGCTGCAATGGCCTAAGGAAGACTTTAATGAAAATATAACCACCTGCATGATAGCAGAACAGATTGGATTCAAGATTTGCAGTGTAACAGGGAACAGAACCGGCTGCCTGCGCTTGTCCTGTGGGGAAGATCATGCAGGGGACTCGGTTGTGGCTACACCCTCTGTGACCGCGCCTTCTGCAACAGAACAGGAAGTTGGAAATGACCCGATGAACAATGAGACCCACCCATGGGCAGAGTATATGTCCATCCTGATGGATCAGACAGGATCAACGGAGCCTAATCAGTCCTGTCAGGTAGTATTAAGAAAGAAGAAAATCTTGGATCAATCTTCAGGTGAAGTAGAGCTGTGGGTGTACAAATACTGTCTTAGAGATGATTTAGACAAAGGACACAACTTCACTACATATAAAGTAATAAAAATAGAGAAATGGTGGCCGCATAGAATTGAATATGGATGCTTCCAAACCAGGGACAGCAGCCTTAGTTCCTGGCAAACAGGAAACGTTACGTACTGGTATCAAAGGATGTCGAAGGGGAGGGAGAAAAGGGACAATTGTCCTACCCCCCCTCCTAATACCACACTGAAATATGATTCTTTATCTGTAGTAGAGGAAAGTCACATGTGGCAAAATGTAAAAGATAATGTGATTAAATGGTTATTAAAAGTGCCCCCTACAGTAACTGGTCCCATGGAAGAGACAGAGGAAGGTGAAGAAACTGTTCCTCTCTTTGTGGAACCCGGGGGGAGAAACAAGAGGTCTGCCTCACAGGATCTAGCTCGACTTTTACGAAAAGGTCACAGTGAGTACGCGAATTACACAGGATATCAAAATTATGTAATTTCCATTAATAGTACATATTTTAATTGGACCTTTTTCAGCCTTCACAATGAAGTGAGCCTTCAGCCACAGGGCTGGGAGCTGCATAAGGTAATACACACTCTTTATACTGAATGGATATATCAGGTTCCTAATTTCAAACATCCAGGAGTAGTGCAATGGATGAAGAAGAATCAATCTGATCCCACTAATTTAGACACAGGGTTCCATGCATGGAACGAAGAAACCAGGAAGTGTTTAACTAGAAGGGCTAATGATAGTTCTTTATGGCAAGGTGGAGAACCACTTAGACTAAGAATAACGGGGACATATTATCAGAAAGGGACAGCCACTCCTGATGATAAAATCGAGGCTGATTCCATATTCGAAGCAGTAAATGAAATGATTAGACCAAGCCACAAGAAAGATTTTTATCACAGTCCGACCTGGGCAAGAAATTACACATTAATGCTTGAAGGATGTCAGGCTGAAGTCTGTAACAACACTAAGGGGTTAACTAGAAGGATGTGTATTTTTTGGTATTCACAATTATATGGATTAACGGTAGGGGGTTTGCGTCCTGACACATTAGGAGATCGGGAATTTTTTAAGCCAAGACCCCCTTATTTAAATATAGCTACTTTAGGAACTGGAGAATTATGCTATAAAGTCTTTACGTGGATATATGCAAAGAAATATACCAGAAGATTATAGGTATTATAGAAAAGGTAAGTATGAGACATATCCTATGACGTACTGGTATGGGGAGGGATATAATAAGCAAAAATATGATTATTATCCCCAGGACACACGGATTGAAGCAGAGACCTTTGAAAGAAAATTAATAGGAACAAAAACGCTAGTGTTGGAAGATGGACAGCTCAGAGTTAAGACGAATTGGTTTACAGTAGATAAGACAAATACGTGGGAAAAGAATGATACGAAAACGGGAAATGGCCTTTTAGATCGCATAATGATTATGGGTGATAAGGTTGGAGACTTGGTGCCGCCTGGGTTTACGGCCCCTGGAACGACTAAGTGGGGCGCTTTTAGTTTAGTGAACTTTAATTACTTTAACGGATTAGGAATAGATCATCATGTGTGCTTTAATGAGCCCAGAATAGGGAAGAATCCTCAACCTGAAAGATATACAATTGACCCTGACACGCCCAAAGAATTTCCTAATTTCAGGGATTATTCAAACTGGGACCTACGGAGCGGATATTGCTCTCCATTCAGACGATCTCTTGACCAACAGGAAGCGGAGTGGTTTGACTACTTTGCATATGGGATTAACGGCACGCTAAGAGGAGTAAGCTTGATTGTACGAGGAGTTGGTGAAATATTATCTGACAGTGTGGTACAGGTCTCAAATAATGTTATACAAGGAACGAGTCATTCGATTGAGACGGTCGTAAGAGGGGTACGTGATAATATAATTGCTCCAGTCTGGGACGCGTTGTTTTGGCCTCTGTGCGCACTTGGATTAATGGCAGGAGTGATAGTTTTATTGATAGGCATGATTTTGGCCTGCAAGCATGAGAAGTGGCAGCTGAGAGGGAGCAAGCTACTTAGAGATAAGGGACCTGGTCAGCAGGAGAATGACAGACCAGCAGGAAATGCAGGAAGTAATGACATCATTCCTTCTTCAGTGGGTTCTATTTAATACAGGGGGTGCAGTGCTGACAGCTCCAGCCTGGTCCTGACCTGTCAGTTTGAACAGCTACTCTGGTAAGCAGCAAGGATGAGCCAGCAGTTTCAGTCAGAGCAAAAACCGATTGTAGTGGCTGGATATGAGGTATGTCACATCCTTAAGATTACCTTTATGCTTTTCTTTTTACTGTTAGCTCAGATTAGAGACATCAATGTTAGAAAATTATTAATATACGCAAGCATCTTTGCATTTATGAATGTGACCAGATGGTTGAATAATGATTTTATTACTAGTGCAAGCTTGTTACCATGGTTGTACAGTGATGAAATGCCAACATGTTTAGTAATAGGAGGAGTGATTATTTGTTTGCTTACGGCAACGGGGGAAAGCTTAGTGTGGTGTATGAAAGCTCACCTGACTATTATTGCAGCCTGTACGGATTTTTTTTATCATATTCACGGGCCTTTGTGCAGTGATGACGTTGTTTTACAGTTCACAGGCTGAGTGGGGAAGATATAAGTCTATGGTTATACTAGTTGCTCTTGTGGGCTTCAGTGTGGAAATACTCTCTTGGTTTTGCCAGGAAGGTGCACTAATTCTGTGGGGCGTAATTATGTTTATTCTAGGTGGACCCGGACATGCAGCGCATTTTAAAGGGACTAATCCCAGCTGCAGATGCACCAGTGCCTATGTCCAGGGATACCGTGACTTATGTGTGCACGGTGAAACTCAGGGGACGAGTGATGGGCCCGGTGAAAACGATCGCTCTTCAATGTGAGCATTCTGCAATGTTTGAACAATGCATGTGTTGCAGGCTTGTTGCGGAATCTCGGACCGCATGGAGACGGAACTCCCAGGGTCGTTTGTTGAGGAAACAGACGTACTAATCCTAACTTCACCTGATATTCAAGAGCTTTTCAGGGAGAGCCACGAGGAGATGCTGACAACGGTGTGTCCAGTCGCCGTGGCTGAAGATGAAGCGGATTTGAACAAAGATTGCCAAACGAAGGAGGCTGTATTAGCAATAAGAACAGCTTCAACTCAAGATCCTAACCCTACTGATGTGTACATAATCCCTATGATTACTTGTGATAAGGCGCAAGAAGAAACATCCTCTCCTGTTCAGCGGACCTCAAGAGGAGAGCTGAAGTGGAAGATCAAGTTTGAAAGAGGATGTTATTACATGGGCCAGAGCAAGCCCTTAGATTGCTATCAATTCATGAATATGTTGTCTGTGAAGAACGGATGGTTTGATCCTGAGATCAAAGTCTCTTATGGAACAGCTCCTCTGTTAGAAATGAGAAGTAATCCCCTGGTGTTTAGCGCAAGTTTTCCACCAGGAATGCTGGGGAAACTCCCGTCTGGGGAACATCAGGTCACGGACCTGTCACTGTTTTACCTTGGAGAAGAGGTTCCAGGTGAGAGGAAGAAGTTTCGTGGTTATATTACTACCAGCAAAGGTACCCTGTGCATGCCGATTTCTGACGATGGCATAATGATGAGGAGAAGAATCGATGTGGAGGCTACGGTTCAAGCTCTGTGTTTCCAGCCAGATCCGGATAAGATGGATACCAAGTTCCTGAAGGCTTGTGTGTTCGCATTAAAACATTATGGTCCCCTACCACGATTTAACTCGCAAAGAGGATGTCGCATGCTCCCGAAGATCAGAGCCACAGACAGAGGAGGCAAAGAAAGAGGACACAACGGGAGGGGCCACATGGAGAGCAAAGATAAGCGGAGCCCAGCGGAGCCTGCTGATGCGAGTGAAATCGAGGCAGGTGAAGACAGGAAGGGAGCCAACTGAAGAAAGCACCACAGGATGTGAAGCCCCCTTTGAAGACAGCTCGAGCTTTAGAAGGATCTGAAACCGTCCTACAAATGATAAATGATTACTTTGTTTTACTATCTTGTGACGCAGATGACTAAAGATTACATTGTTTAGTTGTCTTAAAGTTAAATCATATATACGTCACTCTGAAAAAGTGCTTGTAACATGAAAATGCTATACAATGGAAAATGCTTTGCTTAGCAGTTTTTAGAACATATATAAGAACAAGTTAGAAGTAGAAGGAGGCGCTTGCACGTACGCACGCAGCGCGAGGTCACGGCAGACGAGAGACGGAGAGTCTACAGTAGCTTTTTCCTCTTAGATAGTTAGACGCAGCATACTCATAAGAGGATATTTAATCTTGGATTTACCCTTTTATATCTTTTGAATTTTGGAATAAACTTTTTTGAAAAAGGATTCTCATTCATTGGATTTTAAGGGACAATTTAATCTCTTTGAGTGGGAGCTCCGGCCCTGGCCTAAAGGAGTGGAGGTAAGCCACCTTATTGCTTGTACCTGCTTCACAGGACTTGTTTTTCAGGGTGTGACAGATTAATAAAAGATACCTTAGGCTAATGGGAGTTTCATCTCCCCCTCTCTCTTGAGTATTGGGACATGCCTAAGGGTGATAAGCCATGATAGTTCGTTGGTTCAAACAGGCTCTTTTTGCACCAAAAAAGTCTCTGTTAAGCGTGGGAAGGAACCATTTCAAAGGGTGGATTAATTAGATTAATTGATAAATCTATGTTAGCCTGATCAACTAACTAGTAATCATTTTCTAGTTACCACCGCCCACTTTGCTGACGGAGACGCAAATTAACCCTGATAGGACCCAAATAATAGTCAGTAAGATTGGCCAACTCTGAACTTCCGCCTTAGTATCCAAAACCACTGGATAACAGGATTTAAAGGGGAGTGAATTAATACAGGAGAACAAGTACGGCAATTCCATTCCAACCTTTAAAATAGGAACAAGTTTTAATTGAGAAAGTCCATCCCAGGGTCTGATACAATAATACTCACCACGGCCTCAACTTCCCTGAGAAAGCAGCGTAACTCGAGGATCTAACGGAACCTCTTAAAGGGCACGCTCGCAACACCCCCCCCGATGTTTAGCTCCGCGGGTGTTACTCCGGTAGATTCATGTACCGAGCTGTTTAAGGTAAAATGAAATTCAGGTAAGAATCTATCCCAGGATTTGTGCTTAGAGCCAACATAGGAAGCAAGCATGGTCTTAATGTTACGATTCACTCTTTTAGTCAGCTTGGTCTGTGGACAATATGCAGATGTTTTCTTGGGCATGACATTCCACTTCTTGCAGGTTTCCTCATAGATTGATGAGATGAACTGAGGTCCTTGATCTGAAAGGACATACGTAGGAACACCCCAACGGGTTAGTATTTCTTTGATTAAAACCTGAGCAACATTTTCTGCTGTGGCCTTCCACAGGGGAAACATCTCCACCCAACGGCTGAAATAGTCAACAAAGACTAAAAAGTACATATTCCCAACATTTACTGTCATGGTCTGTGTCTGCGTCTCACCTCATGTGTCTCCTTTTGTCCTCATTCGTCTCTAGGTGCTCCTTTTGTGTCTTTCTGTTTTTTTTTCCACCAGTGTTTTCTTCCTCCTCCCTGAGTTAGTAATTGTGTTCACCTGGTCCCTCTCCCCACACACCTGCAATTCATCTCCTTCTCATCTTCCCAGTCTATTGAAGCCCTGTCTTGTCACTCTGTGTTTGTTGGCTCATTGTCTTATGTGTTGCGTTGTTTGTTCCCCTCTCGAGTCTCTCTGAGTCCCTGCTCATGTGTGAGTTTAGTTAATTTTGAGTTTTTTCAAACCTTTGAGTATTAGTCTTATTTTGTGCTTTGGACTTTTCAGCACATCCGCCTTAAATAAAGGAATAGTTTTTCTTAAGACCTCTCCTGCCTCTGAGTCATTCTGGGTACTTCTGCATCCTGGGTCCAACCTCCTCTCCAAAACGTGACAGACTGGTACATATAGGCAAATCTCTAATGCACCCATTTTCCTTATTCTTTCTGCCACTTCATCCTCGTAATCCTCTGTGAGGAAGGAAGCTCGATAGCCTTTCTGAAATTCAGTCCAGGTGTGTGTCTAGCATTATCCCACCAATCCCGGGCTGTGCCATGTAACACATTTCTTAATGTTGCCGTGAGCTCTTTGTCGGTTAGGGAATTTAGTGCCAGGTAATCCTCACACCTTTCAAGGTACTGTAGGGGATCAGATGTGTCCTCCACTTTTCCGTAAGTTGGGGATTGTAACTTTACAGGGGTTTTGCCAATGTCTCTGCTCTGGCCTGTAGGCAAACATGAAACACTGGGAGCGGAGGTTTGGACTCCAGGCTGGGCAGTAGATTCCATCCGAGGTCTGGTTGTAAGAGTCACTGCTTCAGGTATGTCATAATAGACAGTATGAGCTGTTTGATCCAGTATGGCCTGATGGGTAGACTGCACAGACTTTGCATTTGCCATCATTTCCTCAAACATCATCCTCATGGAGGACTTTTGGTCCAAGAGCTCTCTCTGCAGGCTTGTGATTTCTGCTTGCTGGCCTGAAACACAGAAGAGTTTGGACTTCCGGCAGCAACTCAGCATTTTGATGTTTCATCCTCCAGTTAAATGAAGTTTTGACCTGCGTAAGAAAATATTCTAATTGTACATCCATGTGTCCATACAGATTTTGTGTTTGTTCTTTGCTTAAGTCTCTCATTCTGGTTTCTATATCGTTCATTTAATACTCCATTCTCTGCTTGATTTCCTCCTTTTTCGAGTTCAGGTCGGTCAGCAGGGACTAAGCTTCAGACCGGGTCGGTGAATACTCCTGAAGGGGAAAACAGGGCTGCGCCACCAATGGAGGCATGAGCGAGTCCACTCCTGTCAACTCCATATCCAAGAGTGTGTGTGTGGTGAGATGTTTATCAGATGGAGACGATGCCGTGGGAGAGGATGTTACATTCTCCGTGGAATCAAGTGCATCTTAGTTTTCTCTTGTGCTCATTTCTTTCAGTTAAATAGTGGTTTCTTCACTTAATCATGTCCCATCTGGGGTGCCATTTTTTTATGTAACAGTTTCACTCCTTGGTTGGTTTGGTTGGTCTTATGGGGTGCCAGTCAGGTCTCCCTCCTGACTAATAGGATTAGTTTGAGTGTTAAGAAATTTGCTTTGCACCCAGTTTTTCCTCCGTCACACAAAGACATATACTTACAATTAATTAGTATACACCCTTAATTTCTGTAAACAGTGAGGGCAACCAACAGAATAAGAAATTCAGCACAGTCCATGAAGACAAATCAGCAGTCTTGACTTTGATTTTGTAGTAACTCCATTTTAATTTCCTTTTTTATCTTCTTTTTTTTCCTTTGTAGTTTAGACAGCCATGGATAAGGAGTTGACTGTGGTGTGAATGACTCTTCAAACAGGACACAAGACACAATTCAGAAAACTATTCTCCTCTGGGATGAGAGGTGAATTGCACGCCGTCACAGGGAGACGTTCCACATGCTGACACGTTGCTCCAGCACTTTTAAGATGAGCTCTCCTGTCTCCAAAAGCACAGCACATCCAAGGGATCAATGGCCTCATTGGATGGATCCAAAAGTGTGTCTGGTTTCTCAGTGTCTTGCAGGTAAATGATTGGGGGGAAAACCAGGGGATATCCTCTTCTTCTTCTTCTAATAAATTTCCGGCAGGCTATACGCTGGAATGCACAGTGCTGCCCTCCACCGTCATTACCGCTACATTATATTCTTGAATAAATGCCAGTGAGACGAAGGAATCGAACAATCAAGCTATATACACTTTGGGACTGTGCACTAATCGAAAAAAAAGGACATAAAGGAAAAAGATTCCAACCCCAAATCCGCCAGCCCCATAAGAAGTTGCCGCCTCTCACTATTATACTTGCTGCATGACGATACATGAACAACAGTTTCGGAATCACCACACTCACACAACTCATCTACATGTTTATTAATCCTAAATAAGCATGCCGCCAGACCACAGTGCCCCAATCTCATTCTGGTAATTACTACTTCATCTATACCGCCACAGGTTAAGGGTTGCCAACTAGTATGAGCTGACGGCTGACAAGAAAAATAAAGGCTTCCTCTACGTTCCCCTTCCCATTCTTTCTGCCACAAATTCTAAAAATAGTTATTGCCTATACTATAACATTCTCTTTTTCCCAGAAGAAGATGATGATCAATACTACTTCTAAGGATGAAGTCTGTGGCCAATGCATCCGCTATTTCATTTCCCAAAATTCCAGCATGTCCAGGGACCCAGACAAATACCACCCTAGAACCCGCACTCTCAGGGTCTTTAAGAGAACACAAAATCTCCAAAACTAAGTCATTCCATGCCTCAGATGTCCCGTTGCTTAGATTCAACAGCGCAGCAGCAGAATCAGAGCAGACAATAGTGTGAGATGGTCTATGCTCCACTACCCACCTTATCGCCCACAAAATAGCCAAAAGCTCAACAGAAAAAACAGACAAATTATCTGTCACACGAACACTTGATCTAACATTCGGCTCAACAATATAAACCCCAAAACCAGCTCTATGAAATGTAGTTTCTTTAGATCCATCAATACAAATCTGGAAGCATCCTTTCGCTAGCTTAAATACATTTATAACAGTCTAATGGCAACTGCTTTTTCCAATCCTAGTAAGTCCAAAACAACGTCCGGCTCAGGTAACTGCCAAAACGGTATTGGAGACCACACTAACCCCACCACCATATCCTTTTGTAGACCAAGGAGATGTACTAGTTTTACAACATGATTTAGGAAACTATCCTTATCCTGAACCCCACTGGATCCCCATCAATCATCTATGAGACATTTAGATGCCAAGCTGCCACCAAACCCGGCCTGTCTAGTCCAATAATGAACCCCTAGATTTTCCCTCTTCATTTTCAAAGGGTACTCCCCCATTTCAACCAGCAATGCTGGAATTGATGTAGATCTAAATGCCCCGCTACAGATTCTAAGGGCCTTAGACTGCACATAATCCACAATAATGGATAACACAGATTTAGAAGCTTTCCCAAAAACCACACATCCATAATCCAAAACAGGCCTAATAATAGCCCTATAGATCTACTGTAAAGTACTCCTCTCCGCTCCCCAGCTACTCACCGACAAACTAATCATGACATTAATTACCTTTTCACATTTGCTAATAAACCGTTCTATATGTGTTTTCCAGAACAATTTCTCGTCGAACCACAAACCCAAAAATTTAAAAACTTTAACCCTTTCAATCACAGAGCCATATATATGAATATTTATAGATGAGATTTTCCTTTTTAAGCCAAAGATCATAAATTTACTCTTTACTATAGATAACTTGAAACACCAGTTATTTGCCCACTGCACAATTTGATCTAAAAACTTTTGAGTCTGAGAAAACAAATGCTCAAAATTCCTCCCACATCTCCAGATGGCACAGTCATCAGCAAATAGAGATTTACCAACCTATCATCAACTTTTTCAAAAATATTATTAATCATTACATTAAATAAAACTGGACTTAAAACTGCCCCTTGCAGAGTACCGTTTACCACCACTGCAGATTTTGACGAAGAATTTCCAACAACCAGGGGATATACAGTGTGGCCTTCCTTTTGAAGGTGAACTTGGGCGTGGTGCACAGGTGTTGAGCATTTGCCATCAAGGCAGAGAGGAGGCAGGAAATGAGCAATGGGGTACAACCACAGGTTGTCACAACATGTATTACGTTTAGTCACATTTTTACGTGACACTAGGTGGTACAGCTTCTTAAAGGGACATGAATGTTGCTAACCTACACACATCTTTTAATTTTTTTACTATCAAATTTATTGACATGGGAAAAATGATCTCGATAAGAGTCAGAAATTTTGATAACGATACATTTTCGATTTTTTGTCCAGCCCTACGTCACACTATGGCAAAACCACACAGACCGCATTGGGACCCATTTTTTTTCCAGGTGAAGAGCTAAAATTAATATCAGATTCTGCCAATAAGAGGGCTCTAAAGCTATTCATATGTAAATATTCGCATATTTATTGCAAAATCCTATTTTTCTGCTGTTTTAGCGCTGCAACAATGTTATATTAATAAGAAATTACTA